AACAGAATGAATATGGTGTCTGACTCCATCATGAGCTTGGAGGACTGCATCCATACATCTCTGACATGACTCAAATCACTGATTAATAAAGTCTTCTGGAATGGCAAAGAAAGTCTTCTTGCAGGACTCCCAGAGCTCATCAAGAGTCTCCTCCTCCATCTTACCCCAGCCATACTCAATAATGTTCATTTCTGGTGACTGGGCTGGCCAATCCTTGAGCATCTTGATGTACCTTTGATGTGGAGGCTGAAGTATGAGAAGGAGAGCTATCCTGCTTAAGGATTTGCTGTCTTGATACCTCAGGCTGTTAATGTTGATCATCCACTCTGCAGATCTCTCACGCACCCCCATACTGAATGGAACGCCAAACCATGATGTTTCCTTCACCAAACTTGACTGATTTCTGTGAAAATCTTGACTCTATGCTGGTTCCAGTAGGTCTTCTGCAGTATTTGTGATGATTGGGATACAGATCAACAGAGAAATCCACCTTCTGCCACTTTTCCAAATGATCAACTAGAAGTCAAGTTATTAGTTGCTGCTCTTGCAGCTGGGATTGACGATAAGACTTAAATCAGTCATGAAGCCATTATAAATATGCTAGGAATTTTATTACAGCGTCGCTAATATTATTTTTGACCTCATCTACAGTGGCACAAGCTGACTGTGTTATTTAAATATCATTACATATTAATACCATTCTTAAAAGTTAATTGACAGAATAATGACTCTTTAAATGAGAAAAAAGATTCACGACACAATTATAATGGCCTCTTTTTAATTATTTAAGTCAGAATTATTCGCCCCTTGTGATTTATTTTGTTTTCTTTTTCAAACATTTCCCAAATGATGTTTAGCAGAGCAAGTATTTCCTATATATATTTTTTTTTGCTTGGAGAAAGTTTTATTTGTTTTATTTCAACTAGAATAACAGCGGTTTAAAGACCATTTTAAGGTCAATATTATTAGCCTCCATTAAGCAATATTTGTTTTGGATTGTCTACAGAGCAAACCACTGTTAAAAATGGCTTGCCTAAAACCCGACCTTAACCTTATTAAGATAGTTAAGCCTTTAAATGTCACTTTAAATAAAAGGTCTGCATTATTGTTTCAAATAGATTAAATGAATAAATTAATAAATAAATATCAACCTATGTGTTGTATAACACATTAAACAACATTCTTATTCTAACGTGTACTAGTATATATGTAATGTATATATAAATGAATTACTTAAATATTGAATTAGTTTTTTTCTTTTAAATATGTTTCACCAAACTTGCTAAATACATTTTTGCAAAAGTAAATGTCTATAAATAAAATAGAATACATGTTAAAAAATACAATAAAATAAAGTAAAATACAATTTTTAAAAATAAAACTAAATGCAATTTATGTTTTTAATAATATTTTTTGCTGTTTTTTATATTCTATTTTAATAAAATAAAATAAAATAGTCTAAATAAGTCTAAATTTAAGTCTAAATTTACAAATAAAATAAAATGCAATAGATTTTTTTAATAAAACATATTTTTTTACATTTTATATTTTATTTAATAAAATAACATAAAATAAAATAAAATTAAATTACATAAAAATAATAAAAATAAAATACAAATTTAAATGCAATTTATTTTTAATAAGTAATTTTTTAGTATTTTAAATTTTACTTAAATAAAATAAAATTAAATTAAAGTATAAAATAAAACTTATACATTTTAAAAATCTGATAAAATGAAATAAATATTTTTTAAAAATAATAAATAAACTATTTTTTTAATAAAACGTATTTTTTCTATTTTAAATTTTATTTTTAATAAAATAAAAATAAAATACAAATTTAAAAAATAAAATGTATATTTTTTAATAAAACGTTATTTTACTACTTTTTAAATTAAAAGTTCTCAACAAAAAACACATTTAAAAAAAGAAAGAAAAAAAGTGATTCCAGAGGTGCAGTAGGATGTGTGTGAGCGTGAGAAGGACGGCCAGTGGGACAGTGGCTGAGAGCCAGATGTTTTCACAACCAGCTCCTTTCTAATGCATGGACAGAGAACGTGATGACGTGCAAAAGACACTAACACTCCTTCTTCTAACACTTTTGCCATCTCTCCATTACCCGATTCACATTCACATATTTTCCCAGAGCGCTGAGACCTCGCTTGTCCTACATGCCTGCAGATATGATACTGTAAAGCAGAGAATGCAGTTACACAAGCCGATGGCACTCACACACACACTCAACAATACATCCTAAGAGAAATGCAATCTGCTGCACAATGCTTTTCTTTCCTCCTTTGTGCACACACACACACACACACACACACGCAGCAGCAACCAAGCGCTCAGCACCAAACATCAGTGCATAATGAAAAACAAAGCCAGCATTAACAAAAATAATAAGCAAAAACATATCAGTGCATCACTGCTCATTAACATGGCTGTTGTCTATTTTTAAGAAGAAAAAATAAATAAATGTAGGGGTGGCACGATGGCGTAGTGGTTAGCACTGTGGCCTCACAGCAAGAAGGTCGCTGGTTTGAGTCCTGGCTAAGCCAATTGGTGTTTCTGTGTGGAGTTTGCATGTTCTCCCCGTGTTGGCGTGGGTTTCCTCCGGGTGCTCCGGTTTCCCCCACAGTCCAAACACATGCGCTATAGGGGAATTGATCAACTAAATTGGCTGTACTGTATGAGTGTGTGTATGAGTGAGTGTGTATGGGTGTTTCCCAGTGCTGGGCTGCAGCTGGAAGGGCATCCGCTGTGTAAAACATCCTAAGATGTTTTATTTAAATGTTATTTTAAAAATGTTACATTAGTCTTATTTTTTAAATCATTTATAGTGATGCGGCTAGGTAGGGGGCCTACAAGACATTGTGCCCAGGGGCCTCTGAATTCTTAATCCGGGCCTGGTTGGTGTATTCTGGGAAATTTTCTTACCCCTTGGTTTCGAGTGTGGTCCTGAAAAATCTTCATTCAAAGGGCTATTCACCCCTTCCCCTTAGCCCTACGCCTTCAAGCTAAAGAGAATTAGGACACCCCTACCCCTTGGCGTGAACGTGCAAAACGAGGGGTAGGGGTAAAGGGAAGGGCTAAAGGGTAGAATTGGGATTGGGCCTTAGAGGTCTTTGCATCTTCACATGTGAAGCTTTTATCTCAGAGTTTACCAAGTTTTTTGTTTTTTGTTTTTTGTTTTTTTTGGAACCACTAAGTCATTTAGAAAGAAAAAAATAGTATGAAAATATGAAATAAATAGCACTATACAGTAGGTAAATAATTGTGCAACAATGAAGATGCACACACTATTTGTATATTCTTAATACACAATTATTTAATTTTAAAAAATCCTAATTTTTGATATGTCACACTTTAGAATATTTTATCAAAAGATTAAAACACTGAGGAACGCCATGTCATAAAGCTCAATCATCTCAGACTGGTTTCTTGAACATGACGATGAGTTCACTGTACTCAAATGGCCTCCACAGTCACCAGACCTCAATCCAATAGAGCAGCTTTGGAATGTGGTGGAACGGGAGATTGGCATCATGGATGTGCAGCCGACAAATCTGCAGCAACTGTGTGATGCTATCATGTCAACATGGAGCAAAATCTCTGAGGAATATTTCCAGTATCTTGTTGAATCTCTGCCATGAAGGATTAAGGCAGATCTGAAGGGCTCCAACTCAGCACTAATAAGGTGTACCTAATAAAGTGGCCGGTTAGTGTATGTTTCAATATGAACGAAAAGCTCACACAAGGTATACATTAAAAATCACACAAGCTCAATTGCAACAATTAAAGACACAAAAACAAGCCACAAATGTTTGTTCACAGGCTTCCGATGCACAGCCATGCTAAACTAAATGTGGAAGATCTCTCTATTATCTTGCATTAGTTACACGCTTTAAAGCAGCATCTGAGGAAATCGGTCATTTCTAAATTTCACTCATGTCCTGGAGTGAGACATAAATTAAAAAAAACAGCTTATTACATCACATCATTACGCCACGGAAATCCCTGAGGTGCGTTTGACATTATTTGATTACTGATTGAGAAGCACATCAGACAGGCCTCACGCCAGAGAGCAACAGAGACACTTCTTTGTTGGACATCTCTTCTCTCACAGGGAAATGTCTTCCATAATAAGACTGAAGCGAACACTTGCTCCCATTAAAACTACAAGTCTATTAAAGAAAGCGCCTGTGACTCAGATCTGAGGTGATGCTGAGCTTGAGGACGGCCTTCCTCAAAGCATTCATTAAACGGTTGCTAATGGCAACATGCAGCAGAACATCTATGCAGAGAGAAGCCCACACTGAATCAAGTCTAACTTTCTCCCTATATCATAGTATTGAATTAACACACACACACACATTGCCGTCGGTTTCTTGTGCGAAACTGTATTGCAACCCCAACACAAGAACAGAAGAGAGCAGAGCTTTTAACCTTAGGCAAGAACCGAACACAAATGTGTCACAGCCCACTCAAAAAAAAACACCCAGAAACAGTATGGAAGCGCTTTAGATGTATATGCATTAATGCTGTATGCAGTTTTAAAGGGATGCTGCACTTTAAAGAGGAGGGAATTTGCACAAATTACAAGTTTATTCAGTTGAGGATATTTTGAAGTATGCTGAAAACCTGTAACCATTCACTTCCATTGCGTTTATCTCCCTATGTACTATGGCATTTCAGCTTTCTTCAATATGAATGTTCAACAGAAACTCTACGTGCGAGCTCTTGATGCAGCGCGAGGGTGTCAAATTGTGTGTGAACTATCCCTTTAAATGCGTTTGCAACCTGTACGCAACTTTTTGCATGATGTGTAAAGTTCTGAATCTCTGAAAGCATCGACTTTTAACTCTTTCATATAGATTTAAAGCGCATCCACTCATGCATTAGATCATCTATACAAATTAGCGCGCGCACACACACATGAGAACCACCGCAAAAGCTTCGCGGCGCAAGCGAAAAGATCAGTAATGATAGCAATCTCTTACCGAATCGTAAAACATGTGGCATCCCGTGAGAATATCCCACACACAGTAAGAGCAGCAACAGCCCAAGCCATCTCCGATGAGTTACCATCTTCGTGATGCCTGCGATGCGCTGCATGTCATTCCCCAGGACGGAGCGTAAAGATTCCCCACTTGTTTCGTGCTTTTGGAGGTGTTTGATTCAGCGGCGCGTGTGTGTGATCACGGCATGGTCACTGAGACAGAAGAGGACACTCCATGGGCGACGCTTCTTCGCATGTCCGTCTCACTGCGCAAAGGAAAAACCCTCCAACCGGGCGTCCATGTTAGAGCTGGAAAATCCGGGAGAAATCCATGTGCGGCGCGTGCCTGGAAGAGCGGAGAGATACGGGGGATGAGTGGCGAGTGCGTAGCGCAGAACACAGAAAGCTGTTCATGCACTGCCGTCTACTGCACTGCTGCACTCACACACACTGACGTCGAGCCGAGAGCAGCGCGAGTGTGTGCGCTGACCGCTCACACACACACACACACACACATATATAAAACACAACATCATCCATATCCCACTCCAACACGCTTCACATCTCAAAAGCGGACATCTCCGAGTGCGCAGCGGTTTGTCCTGCGTGTTTTTCCCACACCACATGACTTGGTCGCAGAGTTTAGGAATGAAATCAGGGATTAGGATATATTTTGGGGGGGTTTAATTGGTGAAATTACACTTATTTCGTAAACTCAGAATAATATATGGCATTCGTTGATTCTGGCGGAAAAACATTAAATAAATAAAGCAATGTTGTTTGTACTGTTGAACACAATAAATAAAACTAATAACTCAGGAATTGCTGACAGAAAACGAGAGTATAGCGAAAGCAGACTCAATATGCTCTTATTTATCATGGTTTATTGATTGTTTTACGGATACTGCTCAATAACTGTAGCCAAATCCGTTCCATGGTAAATGTACGTGATGGGATGACGGTAAGGATCCCTGTGTCCCCGCGCGTACTTAAATGATTAGTCTATATATTTACAGAGCTCATAAAGGAGTGATTATATATATATATATATATATATATATATATATATATATATATATATATATATATATATATATATATATATATATATATATATATATATATATATATATATATATATAT